CACCCTGTGCCTGTCCTTGCCCATCCTGCGCCCGCCCTGTGCCCAGCCTGTGCCTGTCCTGTGCCCGTCCTGTGCCCGGCCTGTGCCCGTCCTGCGCCTGTCCTGTGCCCGGCCTGTGTCCGTCCTGTGCCCGGCCTGTGCCCGTCCTGTGCCCGGCCTGTGTCCGTCCTGTGCCCGGCCTGTGCCCAGCCTGTGCCCATCCTGTGCCCGTCCTGTGCCCGTCTTGTGCCCGGCCTGTGCCCGTCCTGTGCCCGTCCTGTGCCTGTCCTGTGCCCGTCCTGTGCCCGTCCTGTGCCCGTCCTGTTGCCCGCCCTGTTGCCCGCCCTGTGCCCGGCCTGTGCCCGGCCCGGCTGGGGCCGCCCCTCTCCAGAGCAGCGTGGGCTCTGGGGACCTGGCCCTGGGGAAGTGGCTTGGCAGAGGAGGCCCTGGGCAGTGCTGGTGGAGGGCAGGGGCTCTGCAGTGCCCCTGTCCCTGTCCCTGTGGCCCGGGGCAGCCATGGGCCCGGGGTGCTGACCCGCAGCCATGGCTGCTCCCTGGCCTGGCTGTAACACAGCCCGGGGTGTAAACAGGGAAACACACCTGGCCCCAGGGCTGGGGACAGACTGTTCCTGTCTCTGGCCTCTGGAATCTTCACCCAAGCCCCAGCACTTTCCTGTAACACTCCTGCACTGCCCTGTCCCTCCCAGTCTTACACATCTCCCTCAGTTTCCCTGCAGGAGCCGGCTGGGGGCTGTACCTGTCAGGACCTGAGCCCCTCTCCCTGCTGGGCATGTGGCTGCCAGCCCTGCCAGTCCCCCAGGACCGTGGTGGCACTGTGCCCAGCAGCCCTGCCAGCCCCCAGGACCGTGGTGGCACTGTGCCCAGCAGCCCTGCCATCGGCAGTGTTCCCAAAGCTGTGAGATACGAAGTACAGGAGGGGACACTGGGGACGAGTGACAAAAACCCAACCCCAACCTGTAAAGCCCTGAGCAACCGAGCCAGCCAGGCCCCATCCAGCCCCATCCATCCCTGTGGGACACGGGGTCACATCTCTCTCTTCCACTCATGTGCTTTGTCCAAATGTGTTTCCAGGGATTAAAAATAAGTGTTCCCTGTATTTATCCACCTGCAGCAGAGCACAGGCCGTGCTGCGGGATGTGATCACCCAGCACACAGCGGAGGTGGCAGCCGGCTCCAGCCGGGGTGAATCACCCTGTTGTCACAACGCCTCTCACTCCAGTGTCCTCCTTCTGGGTTTTAAGACCTTCTCACCCAAGTTTACATAATTAATCCTGAACGGTACAAGCTGTTCCCCTGGGTACACAGGGGCAATCACTCCTGGTCTTGCTATAAATCAGCTCTGATCTTGTTATAAAATGTCATTAGTCACAAAATAGTTCACATTTGCCCCAGGACATGGGAGGGGACCATAAAGTACCAGCCCAGGGCATTTTACATTGCTGCATCCTGCTGGAGCCATGCTGGCGCTCCCGGCTGTACCAGGGTGGCCTGGGGGCATCCCGAGGACTGGGCTGCCCCTGAGCTGCCACATCCCGGGATGCTGCACTCACAGCAGGACGGGTATTTTTTCCAGGAAACTTCTGCGGCGGAAAAGGCAGATGAGTGCAATTAATTCTCTGTCACAATCAGTTACAGAGCTGGTCGGGGGAAACCCCACCAGTGACAAATCATCAGTGCTGCCCTGAACGTGCCCAGTGCCATCCGCAGGGCAAGCGGGGCTCAGTGCCCGTGTCACCGTGCTGAGATTGAGCAAGCTGGGCCCCGAGGAGCCGGGGCATCCCGAGGACTGGGGGCATCCCGAGGACTGGGGGCATCCCGAGGACTGGGCTGCCCCTGAGCTGCCACATCCCGGGATGCTGCACTCACAGCAGGACGGGTATTTTTTCCAGGAAACTTCTGCGGCGGAAAAGGCAGATGAGTGCAATTAATTCTCTGTCACAATCAGTTACAGAGCTGGTCGGGGGAAACCCCACCAGTGACAAATCATCAGTGCTGCCCTGAACGTGCCCAGTGCCATCCGCAGGGCAAGCGGGGCTCAGTGCCCGTGTCACCGTGCTGAGATTGAGCAAGCTGGGTCCCAGAGGAGTCTGCCCCATCCATCCATCCCTCCCTCCCTGCAGCCTCAGCTGGGCTGGCAGAGCCACGCTGGTGCCACAGCTGGGCTGGCAGAGCCACGCTGGTGCCACAGCTGGGCTGGCAGAGCCACGCTGGTGCCACAGCCCGGCCCTGGCACCGAGCAGCCCTCGCTGTGGCCACCGGGCCACCAGCCGTGCCAGGCCAGCAGGAGCCGCGGGGCCCCTTCCCTCCCTCCCTCTGCACGGCTTGTAAAACAAAACCAGTCTGGGTTTTACTGCCTGATCTTTGTAACGCAAACACAGGCCAGTTAACAGGTTTTACACAGCGGCTCCGGCACGGGGTGGTTGGGAGATGCTCGCTGTCGCTCCGTGGGGTTTTACTGGTCACAACTAAGTGACTCGATTTCATTTAGTGACAGCCTGTCTCTGGAAGGGCACACGACGAACCTGGCCATTGCCGCCCTGGGGGAGCCTGTGCTGGACGCACGGCTGCCTCGGCAGGGACAGGGACAGGGACTGGGAATGGGACTGGGACAGGGACTGGGAACGGAGGAGAAGGAGAAGGAGAAGGAGAAGGAGAAGGAGAAGGAGAAGGAGAAGGAGAAGGAGAAGGAGAAGGAGAAGGAGAAGGAGAAGGAGAAGGAGCAGCCTCCCTGTGCAGGGCCACAATGCTGCACCAGCGGGGTGGATGACGGTGACAGGGACCAAAGGGGACAGGTAGGAACTGATAGGAACAAGCACCTCTGCTCTTCTTCATCTGTACAGCCAGACCTAACAGCATCCAGCAAAATTCCAGCTGCCTTTGTACCAGCCAGAGCCACCACCAAAACGTTTTCCTTCCATCACACAAATTGAGGAGCGGTTGATATTTTTGAAACGTGGTGGATTGGGCAGATGGAGTCACTTTCAGGGCTGATTTTCCCCGTGGATCTGGTGTCCCAGCTGTATTTAGCTGCTGTCAGCAGTGCATCATGCCAGCACAACACACCTCTGGGGAAACAATGCCTGGGATGCAGGGGACCTTCCTGTGGCGTTTCAGCTGTATTTTGAGCAGGCGGTTTTTGCTTATGAAATAAACTCCCTCACAAACAATTGAGAGATGATGGAAAGTCAGGGCAGCTGAAGGTCATTTGTCTTTGCTGGCTGGGCACTGATGTTCCGAGCCCTGAAACAAACGCCAGCCGCTCTGTTTCCAGTGCTGGAGCTGCCAGGGTGGAACAGACATTGTTCTCTGGGAAAGCAGTGGCCACGGCAGGGCAATTACTGTGACAGGACAGAGGAACCCGGCAGCTCCTGGTCCATCCAACCTGTTCATTCCAGCTTCCCTTGGAGATACTTCTCAAACACAATCCCACATTCCACTCCTGACATAATGGCATGAGGTACGTTTGTGCCGGTTAAAAATAAAAATCCCTTTTGTTCCCAAATAACAGAACACGGGGACATTTGGGAGAGTCTGACCAAGTCCTGATTGAACAAGAATCTGCCATTACCTCTCCTAGCAAGAGGCAGTCGCTGCCCTGTACAATGCTCTGCCCTCAGCAGTGATTTATGGTTCAAGGAGGTTTGTACATGTTCGCTGCTCTGTTGTGAGGAGCTGACGTCGCTCGAGATGCTCCGGAATTTACCCCCAAATGTGTTTGTACTGCAGTGCTGGGCCGAGGGACCCCAGCCCATGGCTGGCCCTGGGCTGGCCCTGGGCTAGGAGAACACAGAAAATGGGGGGCATGTCTCTGCAGCCCCCCTGAGGGATTAATTACGGGATCAACAGGAGTCAGGGAGATTAAGTCCTGAAATCACAAAGCATATGCTAATCACCGTGAAAATCACCGACAGAGAGGGGCCATCGAGCTGCTGCCTCCCAGCCCTGAAGCAAACAGAAAAGCTGCTTCCACGTGTAGTTCATCCTGTCATTTTATAGAAACAGTGCTCATTTCTCCTGGAAAGAGATGGTCAAGGTCCAGATCAGTCCATTGCTGCCACTGAGGCAGAGCTCTGCCCCTTCTGTTTGAAAATCAGTATCTGGTCTAGTCCACACTTGACAGGAGTGTGCCCAGCAGGCAGGGGAGCAAACAGCAGTGAAGGGAGGCTTTTTATGGGAAAAAATAACATAGAACCAAAGAATCATTCGGGTTGGAAAAGCCCTCCAAGATAATTGAGTCCAACCATTTCCCCAGCACTGCCACCATTAACCCTTGTCCCCAAGTGCCACATCCACATGGCTTTTAAATCCCTCCAGGGCTGGTGATTCCAGTACTGTCCTAGGCAGCCTTTGCCAAGGTTATAAGGTTTATTCTTATTTTAAGATAGAAAAAAGATTCTAGGATCTTTCTAAAACAGCTTATAAAACTTTCAAAACACCAATGCACCTCACCTGCATTTATTTCACCCACGTCAAAGCCTGGCACCAGGGAAAGTAAAGTGGTGGGGTGACAAGGGAGTGAGGTGACAAGGGGGACGAAGGGGAATGGCTTCCCACTGCCAGAGGGCAGGGTTAGATGGGATATTGGAAAGAAATCCTTCCCTGGGAGGGTGGGGACGCCAGAGCAGCTGGGGCTGCCCCTGGATCCCTGGCAGTGCCCAGGCCAGGCTGGACAGGGCTTGGAGCAGCCTGGGACAGTGGGAGGTGTCCCTGCCACGGCAGGGGTGGCACTGGGTGAGTTTTAAGGTCCCTTCCCACCCAAGCTGTTCCAGGATTCGATGTTCCTAAGGTCCCTTCTGGGTTCCGCGGGGTCTGTGCCACCGACCCCCGGCTGCAGAGCAGAAGCAGCAGCAGGACCCGGCGCCGATCCCCGGGGGCGCTCGGAGGAGACCCCAGCGGTGCTGCAGGGAGCCAAAGCGATGTTCCAGCAGCCCGGGAGCGGCGCGGCGGGGGCGGGCCGCCGGGCGGGGGGCTGTGCGGGAGGGCGGGGGGCCGGCCGGGCCCTTCGGGCCCAGGCGCTGCCCGGGGATGCCCCGGCATCTCTCGGCGCCCTCGGGCATCCCTGCGCGGCGTGCGGGGCCAGGGGACCGGCTCGACGGGACCGGTCTGTGCCTGTGGCCGGGCTGCACACCTGAGCTCGCCCGATCTCTGCCTGCTTTTGCAGCAGCGGGGCGGGTTTTCGTGCTGGGCAGGGGTGTGGGGTGTACCCGGCGTGCAGCAAGGGGTGGTGATTCGGATTTAACCTTTATTTACGCAGGGGTTTCCTTTAACCTCCCTGATAAAAGAGAGTGGGAGCAAACCGCATGCTCGCGGAGCAGTTGTGTCTGGTTAGGTGTTGGAAATGTGCCGTCTCCCCCTGCACGGGGCTCCCAGTGAGGCACAGTGTGCTCGCAGCATCCCAGGGGTGCAGTTGCTGGTGTTGGGGGTTTGCTGCTCTTGCTGTCCAGGATTCCCTTCCCTCCCTGCCCAAGCAGCAATGTGACCTTCCTGGCACATGAGGAGCAGGGCTTGTGGTTGTCCTGTGAGAGAGAGAGGGACATCATGGGAACCACAGGGTCATGGATTGCTTTGGCTTGGAAGGAACCTTCAAGTCCACCTCATTTCACCCCCTGCCCTGGGCAGGGACACCTTCCACTACCTCAGGCTGCTCCAAGCCCTGGGCACCCTGTGCCAGGGCCTCCCACCCTCCCAGGGAAGGATTTCTTTCCAATATCCCATCCATCCCTGCCCTCTGGCAGTGGGAAGCTATTCCCCCTTGCTCCCCTTGATCACTCCATGCCTTGTCCCCAGTCCCTCTGCAGCTCTCCTGGAGCCCCTCAGGCCCTGGAACTGCTCTGATCTCTCCCTGGAGCTTCTCTCCAGCTGTCCCAGCCTGGCTGCCGAGCAGAGGGGAGCTCAGGGCTAGGCAGGGCAGCGGGAGCAGTGCCTGGCACAGGGCACAGAGTGAGGCCAGCGCTATCTGAGCTCCCAGACTGTAAATAGTGCTGAGTGCTGCCCGCCTGCCCGCTGGGCTGGGGCCCCGAGGCGCCTGCGTGGGCTGCAGCGTGGGCCTTGGAGCTGGCACGGCCCTGGCCACCGGCCCTGCACAGCACCAGGGCACGGAGCATCTGCTGGGAGCTCTGACCCCACCTTGAGACAGGCTCTCATTGCTCACTGGCACGTGCCTGCTCCACTTTTCAAACTGCCGGCCTGTAAACTCGTGAGGTAATCAAAGAAATTCCTCTAATTTGCAAAAATACCACTGGAGAGTATAGATGTCTCATTTAGGAAAACTAGGCTTTTCCCTCAGGGTTCAGGGGAGATGGCAGATGAGCAGCTGGTCATCAGAGAGGAGTGACTGGTGTGTCCCAGGAGAAAGTGCTGAGCAATCACAGAGTCATCGGGCCGGTAGTGTCAGCCTGGTTTTGCAGCCCACATCTGACCCTGGAGCTTCCAGGAGTGGGGCAAGTTTTGCCCATGACTTTATTTCCTTCAAGTGGCAATTGCCCTAGGAAAACCCCAGAGGAGATTCAACAGAGTCAACAGGATAATTTCGTAATGTGGGAGTCTGATGTCACTGTGAGGTGGAGGAGTTTCACCCAGGGTGATGCTGGGATGAAGCAGGGCTGGACTCGGCTGCTGCAGACAGGGAGGACACGTCCACAGCCCGGAGAAACCCCACTGCAACCAGGAGCAGGTTTCTCTTGGATGGCTTTGGTCATCACAGGGATGCACGTGCTGCCAGGACAGGGCCATGGCACCCTGTGATCACACTCAGGGTATCACAGCCAGCTCAGATCACCCTGCTGTGACCAGAGCAGGGATGAAAAGCAGTGCTGGCTGCCCAGAGCCACCTGCAAAGGGTTCAGGGCTGCCTGTCTGTTGAGGGGGTGGCACCTCTGTGCCCCCAGCCCTGCTCAGCTCCTGCTCCATCCCTGCTCCTCTGTCTCCTTCCGGAGGGGCTGTGGGAAGGGGAGGGAGAGGGGGTCCTTGCACCCCTCATTTATCACCTCTCTGCTCAGGTGCAGCCTGCTGATGGGGCAGAGCAGGACCCACTCCAGGCTGGCACCACACCTGGCAGGACCCTGCCCCGAGCAGCTCTGAGCTCCGAGCCCTGTGCCAGGGAGGAGCCCCAGAACAGGGCCCTGGGGCTCACCCGGGGCAGCTTCCCCTGTCAGCCAGCAAGGACCTGGTGGGAAACACTGGGAATAAACGTAAGAAGAAAACTGCTAAAATGAGAATATACATCCCAAAAAAGTCATCCAGGCATATTCAAATGCAGCTTTTGCTCCTGCCATTTATTTCTTTTATCCCATATGAAGAGGAATAACTTCTCCCAGCGCTGGCAGGTTGATGAGTGACCCACAGAGACGGGCACACAGGTGGGGTCTCCCTGTGGCAGGAGCCAGTGGTTGGGGACAGCAGGGACAGCCGAGGGCACGCAGCTGGCCAGCACCAGCCAGGCAGGGGCTGGAAACTGCAAGCCAATCTAAATCTTTTACTGGATTTCTTAAAAGGCAGGAAATATTTCCTCGTCTGCCCCGCTGGGCTCCCGGGTTTGAAGGAGCTCTGAGGAGTGGGTTCTGTGCAGCCCAGGCTGGCCTTGCTGGCTCACCCCAGGCTGGGGCAGGACTGCTCACGTCCCCACAGCCTGGGCAGCTCTGCAGAGCCGAGGTCACTGCCCCTCTCTGCTGTACCTGCCCCAGACCTGGCCCGGCTCTGGTGCAAGGTGTGCTCCCTCCAGGAGCAGAGCAGCCCCAGGCAGCGGCAGGAGGAAGCTCAGTGCACAGGCTCAGGCAGGATGAGGTGATGCTGGAGTCCAGGGGGTCCAGGTCCCAGCACACCAGCTCCTTGGAGAACAACATCTTTTTCTATAGGAGTAGAGCCTGCCCTCGGATCTTAGAGGAAGCAGCTGGGTTTGTTCTTCCCAAAGTCCTCTCCCGCAGAGGATCACCCACATCTGACATCACAGCTGATAGGCATGCAGTGACAACCATCACCTCTCTGTGTGTCGTGGAGCGAGACTTCAAAGTCTGTTGGGTTTATACTGTCATCAAACTCTCTGTGTGCTACTCAGGAGAACTTGCACATCTGGCCAGCAGATCAAGGAATCAGTATCACCTTTTTTATTTTTGAAAAGTATGAAGAACTCACCTACTTTCACTCCCCAGGGCCCGTGCACACCTTTGCTGCCTTCTTTGCTCACCTGCAAGCAATGCTGTGTCACTCTCATTCCTGCCCTGCCGAGGGCTGCTCCTTGGTGAACTATTGCTGCATTATTCCAGCACTCTTCCTCCCAGGACGGGGCCTATTCCCAGCATTAATCTTTAACTCTGCTCTCCTGCAGCTTAAATCTGACAAATGTTCTGAGTGGCTGCCTCAGGTTCTTTTTGAAATCCTGCCTCGGGATGTTAAGATTTAGTAACACAGATTCTAACCTTAAAATAGCAGCACAAAATGTTCTATTTACTCACAAAATGAATGCCAAGTATGCAGCATCCCTCACCAGAGCGGGGGGAGTGGGGGGGCCATACTGATAATATCTGACAGACAAAGGAATTTGGTAGAAAAAACCAATCTGGTGTGCCTCCTCCAGCGGGCAGCAGCCCTGGACAGCATTCCTGGTCCTGGGAAAGGTGCTGCTGCTTCCAGCTGCTCTTCCTCTGTCCCTCTGAAAGCTGGATGCTCTCTAATACTTCTTACTTTAAAGGAAAATTCTCTCAGGCCCCTTGTGAGGTTGAACCCTGGTCGCTGTGAGCCTGAGCTCTGCCCAAGCCAGCTCCTGCGTGTACTGCTTGGTCCATCTAGTGTTGGCTGAGGCTGGGGCAGCATTCCAGCTGTGTCAGTGTGCACACAGCATTCCCAGTCCCCGAGCAGCTCCTGGGCAGGCGTTGCCTCACTGCAGGGCCTTGGCCATGCTCGGGAGCCACCGGCACGGCCGCGTCCCGCAGGTCGCTCAGCTCTGTGGGCCAGCAAGAGCCCAGAACGTGACAAAACATTCTCCACCTTTGGAGCTGCCAGTGCCAAAGCTCTCCTGTGTCCTCCCAGGAGGCTGGGTGCCACGCTGCTGCCATGGCACGACCCCCTCTGAGTTTTTCCTGGGTCCCAAAGCACGGCCGTGCCATGGCGGTGGCCGTCCCACTCCGGCTGTGCTGCCCATACAGGGCACCCGGGGTGGCACAGCCCCTGCTCTCGGAGCTGGTTTGATGTCTTCTCTCCTGCTGGCAGGCAGCAGCATGAACCTGAAGAAGTACCTGGTGCGGGCGCTGCACCGCCTGCAGAAGGGCCCTGGCTACACCTACAAGGAGCTGCTGGTCTGGTACTGCGACAACACCAACACCCACGGCCCCAAGCGCATCATCAAGGAGGGGCCAAAGAAGAAATTGATCTGGTTCTTCCTAACGCTGCTCTTTGCATCCCTGGTGTTCTGGCAGTGGGGGATCCTCATCAACACCTACCTCTCCTACAACGTCACCTCGACTCTCTCCATTGGCTTTAAGACCATGAAGTTCCCCGCAGTCACCATCTGCAATGCCAACCCCTTCAAGTAAGTTTTTCTTCTCCCAGTTTCCTCATGTGTGCCCTAACCCCTCAGAAACATTGGCAGTGCGAGGTACTGAGGGCCCGTTCCTGACTGAGACATCACGTCAGGAGCATCAGTGGAGTCACCAGGTGGCCCTAAAAACAAATAAAGAACAATATGGAGATGAATGGCTCAGGGCCAGAGCAGGGTTCATCTGCCTGCAAGTTCTCCTGGGCTTCACAGAATCCCAGAACAGTTTGGGTTGGGAAGGGACCTTCAAGTTCATCTCATTTCACACCTTCCACTGTCCCAGGCTGCTCCCAGCCCTGTCCAGCCTGGCCTTGGGCACTGCCAGGGATCCAGGGGCAGCCAGAGCTGCTCTGGGCACCTGTGCCAGGGCTGCCCACCCTCATGGGGAAGAGTTTCTTCCTAACACAGTTTCTGCACCATATCAGTCAATCTAATGAAGGTTTTTACCTCCCTGCAAACTTTCCTCAGCTCGTAAAAGAACCAAATTCAGCTCACCTTTCCCAGCCAGAATCAGCCTTTCCATCTTTCCCCACAATCTCTTTCCTTCCCCTTCCTTGCTGTGAGCGTTCTTCTCATTGCTCATACTCCAGTCACTGAGAGCTGCTTCCACAGTCCTGTCTGCCAGGAGCCACAGAGGCAGAACTGAATCGTGATTTCAAAGGAATCACTGATTTTCATTAGAGTTGCTTTAAATTTGTAGTTGTTTTAAATCCCTGCAATAGTGTAGCCCAAGGCAAGACGCTCTCAGCCAACACAAGAATTGCTTAGGGCTAATTTTCCCTCAATTTGCTAGAGATGTTTTGTGTAAACTGTAGTGAATTACTGAGCTAGAGCCAAAGTGGCCCAGCAGTGGCGTGTTCAGCCTGCAGCACTCCCTGTTTATCCTCGCACTGCCCTTCCTGCTGGGGCACCAGTGGCCGTGCTCTGCACGAGGCTCCCGCTGTGCTCAGTAAATCTGGGCAGCTCTTGAGCTCCCAGGCAGGTCCAGCCAGCAGCGTGGCAGGTGCCACCGTGTGTCCCCACGGCGTGGCTCTGCTGGTGGCAGCTGCCTGTGGCGCAGGTACTCGGAGGTGAAGCCCCTGCTGAAGGAGCTGGACAGGCTGATTGAGGCGGCGCTGGAGAGGATCCTGCAGCCCACGCCAGGGAACGGCAGCGAGGACCTGTCCCCACCACTCGACCTGGAGCTCTGGAACCAGATCCCCCTGGTCCTCATCGACGAGCACGACAAAGACAATCCCATCATCCTGGACATCTTTGAGACCAACCAGACTGCTGTGGGACACGAAAGTGCCATGGACAACACAACCAGTGTGAGCAATGACACTGCTGAGGGCTACCAGCTCTCTGGGGGCAACGAAACCCTGGACAATGAAACCATCGATGGGAACCAAACCACTGCTGCACCTCCCCTGGCCAACGCCACGCTGGAAGAGAAGAAGTACAAGCTGGCAGTGAAGCTGGTGAGAGGGGTCCCACAGTGGCAGCGGGCAGAGATGAGGCTTGGGTGCCTTGGCAAGGGTGCAGCAGGGAGATCTGTGTCTCCTCCCCAGCAGCTGCCCATGGCCACTGCCCTGGGGCTCTGGTCTGGCTGTGCCAGGTCTGGGGACTGCCTGTGCCCAGAGCCAGCCCTGCTGCAGGCTGAGCCAGGACAGAGCCAGGGCAGGGCTGGTCCCTGCAGGCTCCCAGACACCTTCACCCCTTCCTTGGTCAGCACCCAAAATGCCAGGGAGGGGCTGTGGCTGCTCCCCATCCCTTTGCTGCTGCAGTTCACAGTGCAGAGGCACAAGGTGGTCCTGGCACCCCTCACCCCTGCTCCCGTGGGGGCTCCAAGGACCCAGCCTGGGCAGACCTCAGAGGCTGGGGAAACTCCAGCCTTGGACAACTGGTCCAAAATTGACATTTTCTGTTAACTTGTGGGGTCACCCTGGGGATGATGTATAACCTGGCCAGCAGGGAAATGTCCCTGGGGAAGGACCCTGTAATGACAGCGAGCTGAGAGTGACAGCCAGCTGAGAGTGACAGCCAGCTGAGAGAGACAGCCAGCTCAGAGTGACAGCCAGCTGAGAGTGACAGCCAGCTGAGAGAGACAGCCAGCTGAGAGTGACAGCCAGCTCAGAGTGACAGCAGCCTGTCATGCTGAACCTCAGCCCCTGGAGCTGCAGGCAGGGCTGGCATTCAGGCGGGCACATGGGGAGGGGGTCACACCATGCCCTGCTGTCCCAGGGCTCAGGCTGCCCGCTCTGTGTCCCCAGTGCAGCCACCAGGGCTCTGACAACTGCACGTACAGGAACTTCAGCAGCGCGGCGCAGGCGGTGACCGAGTGGTACGTCCTGCAGTCCACCTCCATCCTCTCCAAGGTCCCTCTGCACGACAGGATCAGGATGGGCTACCAGGCAGAGGACATGATCCTGGCCTGTCTCTACGGGGCTGAGCCCTGCAACTACAAGTAGGTGCACACGAGCTCCCTGCTCCTTTCCGTCCCTGCGGGAATGGACAGCACGCGGGTTCCTTTATCTTTTTAAGGCATACATCAGCTACTAATGAGATTGCTGCTGATTCTCAGCTCTAACAACACTTCCCAGGGGTTTCCTGGGTGTCACCCTGAAATGTGTTCTTTTGGAGCAGTGCTGGCTGAGTCAGAGTTTTGGATGGGCTGCTTGCTCATGACCTATCAAGAGGAGCAGCACCCAGGGTATGCAGGGATAACCAGGAGCTGAGCCAGCAGCATGGCCCCAGTTACAGCCCCCTCCCTTTTGCACAAGGCCCTCAGAAATGCATTTTAGCCAGCTTTGTTTCCTGTGAGTCCCAAGTTCCCCTCTGCAGTGCTGAGGAGGGGAGCACACAGCAGCACCCCGGGCTGTGGGGAGCCCTGTCCCTTCTGCAACAAGGGTGAGCAAGAACTGCCAGCAGAGCACGAGCTAATGCAGCCCAAACCTGCAAGCACAGCTCAGACTGAGCAAGTGTTCCTCTCCATCCCCAGGGCCATGTCCCAGCAGACGCCTGCCCCTTGCCTTGCCTTTTTTTCAAAAACAGCTGGGTTGAAGTGCTGTCAGCTGGGTTGAAGTGCTGTCAGCTGTAGTCCCTGTACAGGATTTCAGCAGATGAGGCAGTGGAGGTGAACCCAGCACAGCTGCTGAGCTGGGCCCACCTTCTGCTTTATGTCACACCCCTCAGTCCTCCCGAGAGTCACAGTTTGTGTATGATTCCTCCAGGAATTTCACTCAAATCTACCACCCAGACCATGGTAACTGCTACATCTTTAACTGGGGCATGGATGAGGAGGCTCTGAATTCTTCCAACCCCGGGGCCGAGTTCGGTAAGGGAGAGCTCTGCTCTGGAGGAGGGGCTGGAGGGGCAGCGGGAGGGCTCTGTCTCTTGGTGCCCATTTCTGTCACTCAGGACAGACTTATGATTCCCCTGTCACTGGGGCACTGCAGCAGGGAACAGAGGCTTTCCAGAAGGGGATGAGCCCCAAGAGGAAAATGTGCCACACAGAAAAAAGTGACTACAGACATGTAGCAGAAGGGCATCCTCTGCATATTTGAAATGTCTGAGGGAACACCTGACTGTTCCCAGCTGTTGCCATTCTGGGCATTCACCACCATAAGTGCTCCTGCCCAGGTCAGGCTGCCATGGCAGCCAGACCCTGCTCTTCCCAAGGAACAGGGAGAAGAAAATGAACTCCCTTCTTTCCCCAAGCCTCACCTTCCAATGCCATTCCTGTTGTGAGTGTTCTGTCTGGTGTCCCAGGGCTGAAGCTGATTCTGGACATCAGCCAGCAGGACTACATTCCCTACCTGTCCTCTGCTGCTGGGGCCAGGCTCATGCTGCACCAACAGAAGAGCTTCCCCTTCCTCAAGGACCAGGGCATCTACGCCATGGCTGGGACAGAAACCTCCATTGGAGTGCTGGTGGTATGTGTGGCATTCCTGGGGAGCAGATTGTCTGAGAATAATGTTATCTGATGGGACCCAAACCAAGTTTGCTTTAAGTCTTGGCTGAACTGGCTCAAACCAAAGGAGACAGGGTCCACACCTGTCAGGGGCTGGAGCGCTTAGGGAGGAGTTTGTGTCACTGTCCTGGCACAGTGCTTTGCTGAGGCCCGAATACTGGGCTCAGGTCAGGGCTGTCTCTTTCTCCAGCGAGTCTGGAAATGGGCAGAGGGACCTGTGGAGAAGTGAAAACCACAGTCTGGTGTTGGGTGTGTTTCCAGGATGAGCTGGAGAGGATGGGTTACCCCTACAGCGACTGCACCATGAACGGCTCCGACGTCCCCGTCAAAAACCTCTACAGCCAGTACAACACCTCCTACTCCATCCAGGTAAAACAGCCTTTTCCACCCACAACACTCCTTAGGAAAAGTCAGCAAAGCAGTTAAATCTTTGCCTGTCATGCAGGGTACTGGGGAATCACAACAATCATAAAATCTTTCAAGATCATCAAATCCAAGTATCAGCACAGCCACCACTGATAGACCATGTCCTCAAGTGCCACATCACATGGCTTTTGAGCACTTCCAGGGATGGTGACTTCACCACTGCCCTGGGCAGCCTGCTCAGATGCTTTACAACCCTTTCCAGGAAATGTTTTTCCTAATATCTACATGGTTCTGTAGGAATGGTCACTGAGGCTCTGGGGAACTTCTGCTGAGACAATGTCAAAGTGACACTCCTCAGGACTCGTGTTTTGTGTACACAAGTGATATTTACCCCTGACAGGAGATGAGTACAAAGGAGAGTCTCCCTCTGAACACTCCTGCGATTTTTCACTGTTTTCTCTTTGGGGGAAACCCTGAAAATGCAGCTGGTTTGTGCAGGAAGGGAAACAGCCCTTTGCTTCTTCATCACTCTGAAAATTGGATGAGAAAGTTGAGTGTCAGTAAACCTTGCATCTGCAGAAAATTAGAGTGCCAGCACTAAGCAGAGGTTAATTTGTAACAGGCAGTGGTGGAGAGAGAAGCAGCTCTTGAGGGTTCCGTGCAATAATGAGGGAAACACCCAAACCCTTTGGGGTGATTCACAGATGCACCGGAGATCAGGAGGGCTTTGGGCTGGCAGTGGTTTTATATTTCTACCTTTATATAATAACAACTGGACCACTTTACCCAGCTTTTGAAGGTGCTTGTATAAGGTTTAAGCAAACACTTGGGAGGATTGCATTATTCCCTAGAAGTGCAATGCTGACGGGGTTCTGTGCCCACGTAACGCCACTCCAGAGCCCTCTCAGCAAAACCAGGCTCTTCCATCACTCCCTGACTGCTCTGCACTCTGTGGACCTCTCCTATCTCACAGAAATTCTCTGCTCGTCCTACCCACAACTGTTAAATTTAATTATCTTCTCAGACTTTGCCATTGCTTTGTGCTGCCTCCTGCAGAATCCCACTCCAGTCTCGGGTGATGAACTTCACGCCTCACTGAGCTAATGGCAGTGCTGCAGCCACAATCCTCCCCAGAAGAGCAGCACCTACACAAAGATCATTCATATGTCTGCTCTTTATGTTGAAGGATTTGGAAATTCCTGGCCTTAAAGTGTAAAGCCAGCCCGTTGTCAGTGTTGTGTAAAGCCTGGAGGGCACAGCCATAGATCATTCATATGTCTGCTCTTTATGTTGAAGGATTTGGAAATTCCTGGCTTTAAAGTGTAAAGCCAGCCGTTGTCAGTGTTGTGTAAAACCTGGAGGGCACAGCCACGTCTGTGGTGGAAGAGAACATTTGTATTCCCTTTTGGAAGCTTGAATATTTCTTCTGTGAAGCCCTAAAATAATTGAGAAATGAGCAGTTTCATGTGTGAGTGGGAGCTCCCTCTGTTTCCCACGAGGTCTCACCCATGGCCAGCTCCTGAGTGGATTTAAGAGCTCCAGTGCCCAGCAAGGCTGGCAGAGGTTCTGGGCAGGGACAGCTCCCCTGTTCCCAGGGCTCAGCCGGGCTCTGAGCTCCCCTCTGCCCTCCCCAGGGCTCAGCCCAGCTCCCCTCTCCCCTCTCCCCTTTTCCCCAGGCCTGCCTGCGCTCCTGCTTCCAGAACCACATGGTGGAGATCTGTGGCTGCGGGCACTACATGTTCCCTCTGCCTGAAGGGGTGAATTACTGCAACAACGGGGATAACCCGGGCTGGGGTGAGAGCTGCTGGGGCTTTCTGGGCCGGGTCTGCTGCTGTCCCTGCAGGCTGCTCCCCGTGGGATCTCCACCTGGCCGGGGCTGGGGAGAAGGGGCCACCTCTGGTCTTGGCTGGGGGCTGGGGGAGCCCTTGGGCACCCAAGGGAGAGGACACAGGCATCACTCCAGGCCTCTGCACACAAAAATTTTGGGTCCCCTGGCCAGGGCAATGGAGGATCCAGTGCTCCCCTGGGCAGCACAGCTCTGTGCTGGCAGAGGCCAGGGCTGTGCCAAAAATACCAACCCTGGGCAAGCTGGTTCTATAAGAACTGTCTTCAGAAACTGACAGTTTATTTTTAATTTATTAGTAAACTGTCTGAGTGTTTTGCCCAAGTTTCTCAAGGAAAGGAAAGTTGAAAGGGAAGATGGCAAATCTGTGCAGAATGGTCATACCTAATGTTTATTTTGATAAATGAAACTGATATAACTCAGTAACTGGGTCCTTATCTAAACAGATACTTCAATTTTGTTTTCACCAAACAGCATATTGCTATTCCTTACTGAGATCCAGCATAAAACAGCGTCAGATCTGCATTGAGTCCTGCAAAGAAACATGCAAGTGAGTACCTGGGCCTGATCTGGCTGCTGGGGAGGCAGAGGGATCCTTCACTTTGACTCCCATCAGTCCTGACTTTCCTAAAAGGGCAGCAAACCCTGCAGGGCTGGTTTGCTGTGTGAGAGCTGAAGTTCCAGAGGCTCCAGAGGAGGGGAGGTCTCCACACTAACGCTCTCCCTCTTTGCTGCAGTGACACGCAGTACAAAATGACCATCTCCATGGCAGACTGGCCGTCAGAAGCCTCGGAGGTAACCCCGACTGCTGGCCTTGCAGCAGGCACGGGTGCCCCTGTTCCCAGGCACGTGGGCACTGGCTGCTGTCAGAGCTGCTGCCCAGCTCAGAGCACCCCTGCAGACCAGCAGGACGGGGCAGGAGGGACCCCCCATCCCTGCTGGGGCTCTGTCCCAGGGCTGCTGTCAGCCCAAGGCTGAGTCTGCCTTCCACACCCTGTGCCACACGGGACAGGGCAGGAGCACCCACCCACTGCCCTGCTGAGGCAGAGCTGCCCTGCTCAGGTCCCCAGGGTCCCCCTCCTGCCCACGGGGCCAGGGCTGCTGGCACGGGGCACCCACGGGAGCACGGGATGCCTCTACTCCTTCTGAGCAGATTTTGTTTTCCTAGGACTGGATTTTCCATATTCTGTCTTATGAAAGGGATATGTCAACAAATGTGACTCTGGACAGGTGAGTGAAAGGAACAAGCACTTTATCTTCTGTGCTGAGCCTGTTAACAGCAGCCTGCCACGAGCCCTGGCGCGGGGCCAGCGCCCGCGAGGGAGGACGAGGCTTGCAGCCTGTTCACCTGCGACACAAACAGCAGCTCCAAAAGGCACTCCATGCATGTCCTCTGCTCTCCAGAGCTGCACACTGCGTCAGTCAAACTCAAACATGCAGAAAACTCAGATCAGCCTTAAGGACAGTTCCAGTGTCATAGTGTTTGTCACTTCATACTGATGTCTTGGTGTCTCTCCATCCCACAGTCGGGCTGGAGCTGGAGCAGAGGTGCAGGACACTGACAGCCAGCTCCTCCCTGAGGTGGGCTTTGTTCTTTACAGGAATGGGATCATCAAGCTGAACATTTACTTCCAGGAGTACAACTACCGCACCATCTCGGAGTCAGCTGCCACCACGGTGAGTGCCCATCCCAGCTCTGGCAGGGCAGGCACGGGAGCCAGCCAGAAGGGATGGGCAGGGCCCAGTGCCCTGGGGGACAGTCTGTCACATCCCTTGGGGCTGCTTTTTGGCACGCCTGCTGTAATGAAGTGGGTGAAGCCGCCTCAGTTCCTTCCCCCACTCCACCTCCTGTCCCTGTCCCAGCCCTGCAGGGCAGCGCCTGCTGGAGGTCCCAGGTGCAGGGGCATCACCCACACTGGCACACGGGGGATGGATCGGGGTGGGCCACATTTCAGGGGCTCCACTCAGCTCACTCTGCTCTCCTCCCACAGATCGTTTGGCTGCTCTCGAGCCTGGGAGGCCAGTTTGGGTTCTGGATGGGGGGCTCGGTGCTGTGCCTCATTGAGTTTGGGGAGATCATCATCGACTCGCTGTGGATCACCATCATCAACGTCATCAGCTGGTGCAAGGGCCTGAAGCAGAGGCGGGCGCGGGCGCGGTTCCCGGACGCGCCCCCGACGGTGTCGGAGCTGGTGGAGGCTCACACCAACCTGGGCTTCCAGCACGAGGCCGTGGGCGCCGTGCCCGGGGCCGGGGCGCTGCCCCCCGAGCCCGGCACGCCCCCGCCCAACTACGACTCCCTGTGTGTGCAGCCCCTGGACACGCTGGGCCCCGACAGCGACGCGGACACCGAGTGACCAGAGGCTCCTGCAGCTCCCGCCGGGCTGGGCCACTGCTGGGCAGCTGCCTTCGTCCAAATTCAAGGGAATGAAAAGCCCAAGCTGCCCTTTCCTGTGACTGATGGCTGGGGGAAAGCTGTGCCTAATAAACCCTGCAGTAAACCTCACAGAGTCAGGCTTTGGCTTTAGCGGGGAGGGCTTGTGCACATCAGTGTTGCTGTGAAATCGTGTCACGTTCCTCGTCACCGGGTGGGGGGAGGCAACTCCCAGTGAGCAGAGCAGGGTGGTGGCAGGGAGAGGACAGGACACCCTGACAGTGGATGCAAGGCCATGGCCTGGTAGGGCACAGAACCCTGGAAGAGTTTGTGTTGGAAGGGATTTCAAAGACTGACTCATCCTAGCCCCCTCCAGCGCGCTTGGCTGCAGGGATGTGGCACAGCGTGTGCCACAGCTGTGCCATGCCATGGAGCAGAGCCTTGGGATGGGACCAAAGCTACTTCTGGCCTCTGAGGCTGCAGAATTCCCATTCCCAAAGAACTACAACGGAAACTGAACTCTCCACTGCTGGGTGCCCTGTTGTGCTGCTGCCCAGGGTTTGTACCACTCACGGGCTGGTGGGCACAGCTTGGTGTGCCAAGAACACGACTGCACAGAGACTCGGGTGGGAGGAAGCACCAGCTTGTTTAATTATCATTCTTGCAATAATAAAAAACTGATTTAAAAGTTGCCTTTAGCTTCCCTGCTGGCAGTGGGGGTAGTCCAGTGCAAGAGGTTGGTGGCAGTGGCTGGCAAGGAGGAGAACACAGGGTGCTCACCCTGACACGAGGGCAGCGGGGCCCTTGGTGCCTGTGGGGCCGGGCTGAGTGGGGCAGTGAGTTCACCTGTCCCTGGCTGGTTCTGGCCCCCAGGAGCTTTCCCAGGAACCCATCACAACCCACCGGGACTGGCCTTGCTGAAGTACTTGTGCAGAAGTTCAAGAGGAAGCACAATCCTGTGGTTAAAGCTCGTGGCAGAACACGGCGTTCTGGGCACGGCGCCCAGCGCGGGGCGGCCCCGACAGGGGGTCCAGGATCCTTCTGCAGGGCAAGCTCCCCAGCACAGGGAGCTCTGCTGCAGAGCCGTGGGGCACGGCGTGCCCAGGTCCTCCAGCCCTGGCAGGGGTGGAAATGGGGGTCCAGCTGCTGATGACCACCAGCAGCAGGACAGAGGAACTGGGGGAGGATCTGACAGCTGAGGTGCCACCAGCACGGCTGCTTCTACCCCAAAGAGAATTCTGTGCTCAAAATCACTGAATCCAGATTCAGGGAGTAGCTCCTTCACATGTCCACACTCTGGCCCAGCCCCTTCTCCCCCCGCTGGTTCTCATTCAAAGGGAGAAGGACCAGCAGCCCCCAGACGTGCTGCTCTGTACAGAACCACCCAGGCAGAGCCTGAGCTCAGCGAGCCCCAAACCCACCAGAGTGCCAAGAGGGCACATGACAGCAAAACATCTGCAGAGACAGAGGAATCCAGCCCTTACAAGCTGTCCTAGACCTGTCCCGTCTCCTGAAAGGAATGTTTTCATCTCTGGGCACCACAAACACACAAGCACAGCCTCCTTTCCCACAGGAGAGCTCGTGTAAAGTGATGGCACTTGATCCCATATCACAGCTGGGTGGGAACCAAGGACCTGACACCCCTCCTGAATCAGTGCTCACTGTATGCAGTGCCATCCCTGGCAAAGGCCTCCAAAGGATGAAACAGTGAAAAACCAGAACACACAGAGCACATTTCCAAGAACACGGGGAATGCTGGCAGCAAGAACCTGGGCATCTCCTCTCACACTCTCACCAGAGGTCCCTGGGATGGGCAGCAGGTCCCAGGCTGCTCACCCTGCCCTCATGACTTCAGCCCCAGCTGGCTGCCAGCCCAGGCCAACAGCAGCAGACAGGGAACAGCCCCAAAACCCTCCCCAGCAGCACTGGGGCAGGGGAAGGGTGGGAGAGGCACGGCTGCTGAGCTTCACCCTGCTCACAGCAGTGAAGGGAACAGAGTGTTCTCTGCAGCACAGGGACAGCTCACCATTCCAGTCACGGCTGGCTCACGGAGGTGTCTGACATCTCATAAAAGTGGGAAGTGTCTCCAGTGCTTGGCTCCAGCTCTGTCCCAGCCTGAGCCCAGCTGAGCAAAGGGGTTTTCAGCTGCAGCAGCAGTGCAGGTGCTCCAGACTCAGCTGCCTTTCCAGTTTTGGGAGCTCCCTGTATTCTCCCAGGAGAGCACACTAAAGCTAGACCAGCTGGTGGACAAAAATCTACACAACAAACGCTAATAAATTCTACAAGGAAGCACCACTTTCCTTAAATTCCTTACAAACTTTATGGCTTTCCGTGGAACAGTGAAATTGCACCAGGAACAACAAAGCTGGTTTTATTCTCAGGGCCAAGCTTTATCAAGCCTCAAGTGTCAAGTGCAGAGACCCTTCCTGACCCTGTATTTACAACACCCTGAGCAGTGGCCACTGCCCACAGGCAGCCCCTCTGTGCTGCATCTCCATCACCTCGGACACAGCAGGCTACATTCTCTGAAAAAGCTGCCACAAAGCAGGAACTCTACAGCACCAGGAGCACTTCCAGCACTCCTCAGCCTACTCAGGGTCAGCCGAGGTTTTGGGAAATTTGGCCATAGGACACCTTTCCTTATTTCCCCTGAGCAGTGGCCACTGCCCACAGGCAGCCCCTCTGTGCTGCATCTCCATCACCTCGGACACATCAGGCTACATTCTCTGAAAAAGCTGCCACAAAGCAGGAACTCTACAGCACCAGGAGCACTTCCAGCACTCCTCAGCCTACTCAGGGTCATCCAGAAGTTTTGGGAAATTTCGCCATAGGACACCTTTCCGTATTTATGAAGATGGAAGAATGGAACAAGCTTTTCCTAGACAAAGACATTTATTAAAAGTTAGTCTGAAATAAATTCCCCCAGTCCCAGAGATGTTTTCACTGTCCTTGCAGAAATGAAAACCAATCTGAGATGAGTCCTTGAGCAGGGGCCAGTGGCAGGGAGGGCACAACTGGCACTCCAGGCCCCTCATGGCCACAATGCCAGAGGAGGGAGGGCACAGCTACCCCTCCAGGCCCCTCATGGCTGCAATGGCAGAGGCAGGGAGGGCACAGCTGGCATGCCAGGCCCCTCCTGGCTGTGATGGCAGAGGCAGGGAGGGCACAGCTACCCCTCCAGGCCCCTCATGGCTGTGATGGCAGAGGCAGGGAGGGCACAGCTACCCCTCCAGGCCCCTCATGGCCGCGATGCCAGCGGCCATCCGGCGGGGCAGGCTCTTGGCAGCCTGGCGAAACTCCTCTGGCTTGGCCTTCAGCAGAGTCACAATGTTCTGCAGCGCCCGCGAGGGCTGCAGGCCCAGGGCATCCATCACATTTATCAGATAATCTGCAAAATTCAGGGAAGATTTGTGTTTAGACACTGTGCAATGAAAGATACCCTTGCTCTTGGTGACAGAGGGAACGCTGTCACGGAGAGCTGCCCCCCACAGGCACCACCCAGGCAGGATCCCCCCGTGGGGACAGAGCAGCCCGTGAGGGGTGCCCAGAGCTCACCGATGTCCGTGGCCAGCTGCTTGGTGGAGTGTGGGGTGAGCTGGGGGATCTGCAGGATGACCTCGCAGTAGGTCTGCATGGTGGCCCTGGCGATGGAGCCCAGCCAGTAGTCAGCCACGTTGTCCAGCTCGGGCAGCTCATCTCCTGCACAGACAGGGCCTGTCAGCTGCCAGCACGCCTGGCCTGCCCCTGCTGGCTTGGTACACAGCCCTGCCTGGCTAATAACAGCTGAACAGCTGATTAATAACAGCTGAACAGCTGATTAATAACTGGTTAATAACATCTGAACTGCTCCTTGCCCAGGACAGCCTAGTCAGAGCTCACCAGCTGGTTCTGGAGTCACCTAAGCAGTCATGTACTCTCCCTGCACTGCACACCACTGACACGAGCTCCAGACCCAAAACACTCCCCTGATGACCCTCCAGGTAAGTCACTTCCAAAGGGCTGATGGGGACCAGCTGGGACAGGGCACTGCCTGGCACCTCCTGCAGGATCCTCTCCCAGGAGCAGTCTGCAAACCATGGCAGTGACAAGGATTCACAAGAGTTTTTTTTCCAGCCCTAAAGGCAGTCTGTGTTCATTAGTGCTTTGAAAATTATCGAGGCATTACAACATGTAAATGCTTCAAGGTGACACAATAGTAATGCAAAAGCCTGAACTGGAGAGTGTATTTTTGGAAGGCTCCAGGAAGACTGTAAATACAAGCTCTATGCTTTCTTCACTCTCTGGAAATAATAACATCATAAAGAGACTAACCCAGCACACCAGGTACACTGCCAACCTGCAGGGAAAGGCATTAGGTGGCTACTGCTGTTACTGCAGCAGGATCAGTGACAGCAGGCAGGGCCAGCCCCCCGGAGCAGGAACAGGAGCCAAAACCCAACACAACTCTTCAGACCCCAAACCACCATTTTAATGAACACCAAACTCACACAGACCAAGCCGAAGCTTCCAGTTTGAATGAAACAGAACCAAGTTTTACTCATTATTTAGAGGCTCCTCCTGGGTTCCACCAAAGGAAGAAACAGTGTGATAGGAAAGGGATCTCCAATGGTTTTGTCACTGTATCACATCCCACCCGTGTGATGTCAGGATGGGAAAGCTTCCCCCAGACACTCCAAGCCCTTGGTCTCACCCTACCTTGCTCTGGGGGGTATGGCAGTTTCCCAGCATGTAATGCCAGCTCCAAAGCAGAATCCTCTTGAGTGACAAATGGCTCAAGGTGCAGAGGAAGAGACATAATGTACTGCCCAATCTGGAATAAAAGCACCAAAAGCTGAATCACTGAACAAATGCAAGGCAAGCCCTTTACTAGAGAAAAAGTCACCTGCAGTAAATACACCTGAAAGCAGAGAGCTGAGCCTGACAGCCACTCACTCACCCACAAATTGGCTCTCGTGCATCATTACACTTGGTACAAGAAACAGTTTTTCACAAGGTCAGAGAAGCAGTCACTGAAACACTCATGGTAGGAAAGACCTGCACAGAGAACTGCTATTCCAAGCAAATCTTTGCTCTCCGGAGTGTTCCCAGCAATTTGTTTTCTAGAGCAGAAAGACAGCTGAGCTCTTAC